TGTTAAGGGTTAGCCTGTCGAACGCGACGTTAACCCTCCAAGTTCAGCCCCCCCGAAAGCTCCCAACCCCTTCCTCTACGCGTAGAGTTTAGCCTAGCTCTAGCCCAGCCCTCCAAGCCCCAGGATGGAGTTCGGCCAAGAGCTAGGCTGGGGTTCGTTCGGGAGGGAATACCCACCCCATACTCTACGAATGTTTTCCAACCAGAGCCCGTGCCCTAGCCCCTCCCATCTCTGCCCTGAAAATGTCCCCTCCCCTGCTCAACCAAACCAGTCACCAGCCACGCACCAGAGGAGTCTCAGGTTTTTTTATTCCCTTGGGTTACCCATGTTCCCATGCGATCACTGGGCAAATTTTTTGACCCTGCCCACGATCCCAATGGTGGAAGGAGGGGTTGAAACATCGCCATAACGACCCCCTCCTTCCAAGGAGGGGACGCGCTGCTTCCAATTTGGTGGGGGGCGGGGTGGTCTAGGAGAAATTTCACGGAAATCTCCTCTTAGCTCTAGCCTAACCCTAGCCCTCCAAGGAGGGGCCTGCCTGTCGAACAGTACCGCTATCTTCGCGAAGCCTCAAGGACAACAACTCTCCTTACCGGGCTTGGACGGGCAGAAAAGCAGATACACGCCTACTTCGGGTGTTCGGGTGCATGGTACAGTACAGACCCTATACTGCGCAGACGGGAAAATTTGCAGACCGGGCACGATGGGGCATCCATCTCGGAATCGAAAAAGAATTCAAGGCGTGGATCGTACTGGACTACGCGACACACGAGGTGACAAAATCACGTGACTTAATCTTCTACGAGAAGCTGACTCTGCCCCTTTTTAAGGAGCACCAGGAAGCTGACAAACTGCTCGAGAGGCTCTTCGAGGGCCACCGCAGCTTCGCCACGTCACACGACGAAGCTGACCTGGCCGAGGATGCAGACGCACCTGATGTCACCCAGATGGACTCTGCTCCAAACATCCCCCTTACGAGCCAACTCGGAACTCCGACATTCGTGCCCGTACACCAACCCGATCCGGATGATATAACACGCGAAGCTCACAACTACAACAGCGCAACGCGCCGATCACCCGATGCCGAGTTACCACAACCCAACCTGTCGCAAGACACCCTCCGCCTCGGCAACGACAGTGATGACGACGTGGTCGAAGTTACCAGCTCCCACGACTACGACCGTCTTCTCTACGAAAAGACCAACGAAACCGGTCTTCGGGTTCTCGGCCTCGCCGTTGCAGTTCGCCACACCTCGCCCAAGGAACCCACCACCGTCCGCCAAGCCCTGTCTGGCCCCGACAGCGACAAATGGAGAGCAGCCATGGCCGCCGAAATCGCGTCGCTGAAGAAGCGCGGCACCTGGAAGCTGGTCCCACGGTCATCGGCAAAGGGGAGGAAAATTCTCAGCGGCAAATGGGTTTTTCGCATCAAAACTCTCGCCGATGGCTCGATCGACAAGTACAAGGCGCGCTGGGTGGTGCGGGGATTCGAGCAAACTCACCTGGTGGACTTCACCCTCACCTACGCTCCAGTCGGCCGTCACACTTCGGTGCGCATCCTCATCTGCATCGCCGCCGTCAAACAGCGACCGCTCCGGCAAATCGACGTCGGAAGCGCCTTCCTGTACGCTCCCGTTGATGCCATCATCTTCGTCGAACAACCCCACGCATTCGAAGAAAGCGACGGCGCCGTGTGCCTCCTCCGAAAATCTCTCTACTGAATTAAGCAAGCTCCTCGTCTGTGGCAGCAGTATCTGCATTCCGTCCTCCTTGAGCTCGGCTTCACTCAACTGCCGCACGATCTCGGAATGTACAGGCGGGAGTCGCGCGGAAAGTTCATCCTCCTCGTCGCCTACGTCGACGATCTCCTCTACACCGGGGACGACACGGAGCTACTCGACCAATTCGAGGCCGACATCAAAACGAAACTTGAAGTCACCGTCAATCACAACGTCACCCAATTCCTCGGCCTCAACGTAACCCAGTCCGCCTCCTCCATTCACCTCTCCGCCGCCAAATACGCCGAAACACTCGCGAAGCGGTTCGCCATCGCTCCCATCAACCTCACTACCCCCTACCGCACTCCTCCTCCTAACCACGAGCCCAACACCACGCCACTTTCTGCTAACGACCATCGTCTCTATCAGCAGCAGCTCGGCTGCCTCCTGTTCGCCGCCGTCACGTGCCGGCCCGATCTCTCCTACGTCGCTAGCCAGCTCGCACAGTATCTGAAGCGACCTGAAGGGGAGAATCTACTGGATCTACGCCGAGCACTGCAATACTTCATCTCCACTCCCGACGTCGGCCTCACCTACGAAGCCAACCTCACCGCTACTCTGCAACTTCATGGCTACGTGGATGCCGATCATGCTGGAGATGTTGATAACAGACGCTCCCGTACAGGATTCATTTTCCAACTCCAACCGGCCGGACTCATCTCTTGGAACTCACAGAAGCAGGAACTCATCGCTCTTTCGTCAGCTGAAGCAGAATTCATCGCAGCTAGCGCAGCTGTTCGCGAAGGTCTGTACCTGATGGAGCTCCTGCAAGAGGCGAAAGTGACGATGAACGGGCATTTCACGTTACTCTGCGACAATCAGAGCGCGATAAAGATCGCGAACAAGCCCGGCTTCGTCAACCGCACCAAGCACATCGGCCTTCGCTACTTCTTCGTGAAGGACGAAATCGACAAGGGGAGAGTCAAGCTGACTTACTGCCCGACCGGTGACATGGCAGCCGACTTCCTGACGAAGAAACTGCCACGTCAGCAGTACCAGCACTGCGCCAACCTCTGTGGGATCACCAAGAAATCCCACGTGGCCCACCTTCTGGAATGAAGGGGAGTGTTGGAATAACCGAAAGGTTATAAAGGCATTTCCGGAGTTGCTCCACTGTACTAGTACCGCATTAGCTCATATAAGAGCACGCGGAATCTCGAGGGACACCCGAAGGTCAACCGTCTAAGATAGTCAACGGTCGTGACCCTTGACGATCCAGTAACCGCGCGACAGTTAACAGACTGCAACACGGTAACTGTCGAGAATAGCAATAGTCGTGGTTACTGTAGCTATGTAATACAGTTAATAAGGGAATGTACCCCTCAGAGTACATGGCTAGATAGTTTGCTATTTAATCACTTGTACTCCTGCTCCCTAATCATCTTGTTCTCTTTCAACTATTACTCAACAAGGTCACTACAGAGACTTCACTGTCTCCTCTCAGGCTTAACACGTTCTATCCTATCCACTGATCCTTTGGTTGTATCAGCAAGGTTGGCGGCGTCATTGAGTTCCGCCGGTTGACATAAGTGATCGTTGACAGGGCGCTGGCCGATAACGGAATTTACGTTGTTAAAGTCGTCCTCTGTGTGACGTCTTTTTGGTCGACCAAAATTAAAAGTCGGCGAAATTTTGCATGTGCACGAATTTCGCCCCATGAGGTTTTGGCGAAAGACGACATGTGGAAACGACATCGCGTGCTCTACAAGTTGGCATCTGTGTAATGTCTATCATGTGTACAGCGTGCATGGAACCGTCTGCCGTGCAGGCCTGCACATACTGTGCTAGGTGACATGCATGTGTGCACATGCTCACCCGCTACTTGACAAGCCCTTTTAACCCATTGGTGTAGTGGCTGGGATTCTGAAATGATATAAGAGCAAAAGGCCTCTCGTTCAAGTCCCCATGTGCGCACATGTTGGCGCCACTATCGTTGTTGCTGTGCCGTGTACTAAGGCATCCATGTGAGGAGGGGGTCTCGGAAGACTTGCATTGCGGACGCCAGATTGATCATAAGGAAGGGTTGCGGGCTTGCTAACATGGGGGATTACGGGAGCACTCACCCGCTTCTTAAAAACCCATTTTATTCCAGTGGTCTAGTGGTTGGGATTCTACCGTAAATCCATTGATTCTTTCTTCACTATCCTAATTGCAATGTGGGAGGATACGTTTCGTCCTACTAGCCGCGTCTGGGCTGGTTGCGACACCAGCGCTGACTGACTCAGCCTTGGTTTTCTCGCCAGTCCTTTTCCTTGCAAAGTCTTGTTAATTCGACCATTAATATAACCTTCGGGCCTTACAGAAGTATGATAATTTGGCTTGCAAGTGGTATCTAAGTGTCAGAAATCCAAGCCTCCGCCGCGAATCACCAGTTTCCCGCCAAGGTTGTGTCAGAAACTGACAGACAGTTTGTGTGTCTCCTCGGTCTCTGGTGGAATCTGCGCAGATCAGGACGGTTGTGCAAGTGTCATATTTCGTGTCTCAGGACGGTTTGGGGCGATGGAATCTGGTTTCTTTATTTAAGTTACACCGCGACAAAGCGAATTGCACCGCAAATAATGTACAGGGGACATACGGCCTGGATACCCCAATCTTTCTGAGTAGGGAGGGACCCACTGCAGTGGTTCCATCATTTCGCATAATTGGTTCCTCTGTTCCCCTCAACTTTTTTCAACCTTGAGACCATTCCACGAGTCGCGGCCGTTCGCGGGCAAGGCAGCAGACGCGGACCAGCCTGGAGATTACAGCGATCGCGCAGGACTGCGAAGCTGGCGCCTTGCGTGCCGTGGAAGCGGGCGGCGCGCTGCTAGCGGGCTGAGCGGAACACGCCGTCGCGCGTGGCAGGAACGGAATCTGGAATTGTGAAACTGCAACTGTTTCTTTGCTCTATTACCGTGCGCTCGCCTCGTGCTCGCCGCGCGCTCGTTGGCTCCACCCCGCGACCGTCAGCAACTTCGGGAACGTATCACGCGTTCTATAGGTTCAGCTCCGTACTCGGAGTACCTTTGCCACTCCGTTAACTGCCCGTTTCGGAGCCGATCGTATCGACTCTTCTTCCTTCACTTCCTCCCGGTTCAAAGGTTTTAGATGCCTCGAGATCTCCGTCCTAATCTCGCCAGATAATTCTGAGAAATCTGAACGCCTTGTTTGGTTTATCCTTCAGTGGCATTCGGGCTTTAAAAAACCCCGTTTTATTCCGCCAGTCGCGTTTTCGCGAGGGGCATGGCGAAGAAGGAGGAGCTCACCGGGCGATTCTCCAGCTGGGCGTCGCACGCCGTCGCACAGTCGCAGCTGGGCGTCGCACTCCTGCTGCTGCCGCTTCTCGCGTGCGTCGTCGTGTGGGGCTCCTTCCGCGCGCGCGCGCCCATCGCGGAGGGATGGGGGGGAGCCTCCTTCCGCGCGCGCGCGCCGATCGCGGAGGGTTGGGGGGAAGCGCGCGCCTCTCAAACGGAGGGCTGGGGGAAAGGCTCTCATGCGGGTTCCCAAGCCGACCAGTGGAGCGTGAGAGTCATCGCAAGGGGAGCGGGGGGACGAGTCATCGCAAGCGAGAACGAATCTGTGAACGCGGCGGGGATTGCGGGCGTGAACAGGGCCCGGTGGGGGCCTGGTGGCAGCGAGATGGGCGCGGGAGAAGCGCGGAAGGGGGCATCCGAGTCGACTCGCGAGGCATCGCGCGAGGGGGAGGCGCGAGAAGGGGAGGCGCGAGAGGGGGAGGCGCGCGAGGGGGAGGCGCAAGAAGGGGAGGCGCGAGACGGGGAGGCGCGAGAAGGGGAGGCGCGAGAGTCGACGGCAAGTTTGACGGCCGTTGACGGACAGGCGGAGGGCGTTGACGGACGGGAAGAGGCGGAGGGCGAGGGGATAGACGGGAGTGTAGACGGAGGGGGGGTGAAGGAGAGAGGGGAGGGACAAGGAACGGCGAGCGAGTCTGCTGGGGGGGTCGAGAGAGGAGGGGAAGACGGTGGCTCGGGTGGTGGGGTAGAGAGAAATGGGGCGACGGGTGGAGAGGGGGGAGGGAAGGAGGAGAGAAGCAACATAGGTGCGGGGAGAGGAGGGGAGTTGGAGGGAGGCTCGGCCGAAGGCTCGGAGGGAGGTTCGGAGGGAGGCTTGGAGGGAGGAGGGCAAGAAGGAGAGGATTTGTTGGTTGGGTGTGAAGAGATGATGAATGAAGGTTTGAGTGATAGTAGCGGGGGTGAGAATGAGGGAGAGGGGGGACGAGAGGACGGGGGAGGGAAGGAGAGAGATGAGAGGGGAGAGAAGGAGGGAGAAAAAGGGGGAGAGGAAGGGGGAGGGCAAGAAGGAGAGGACTTGTTGGTTGGGTGCGAGGAAATGATGAATGAAGGTTTGAGTGATAGTAGCGGGGGCGAAGAGGGGGGAGAAGGGGGACGAGAGGACGATGGAGAGAAGGAGAGAGATGAGAGGGGAGAGAAGGGGGGAGGGAAAACGAGCGGGGAAGGTGGGGGGGCAGAAAAACTAGTTGTAGGCAACATAAGAGAGGGGGGCGGACGAGAGGTGGATACAGGAGGAGGGGACGCGGGAGGAGTGGGAAGAGGGAGAGGAGGGGACGCGGTAGGTACAAGTGCAACGGACAAGAGAGCCGCAGGCAGCAATGGGGTCAACAGTGGGATCGACGGTGGCAACTCTGGTGGCAGCAGCGGTGGCGCCGAGGGTGACATTAACGGGAGCGAGAGTGGTGGGGCACGCAATGGGGACGGTGGTGGGGACACTGGCAGTGATTCTAACGGGGGGAATGGGAGGGCTGTTGGAGGGGCGGGCATGGCAGGTGGTGCGAGGAAGAAGGGAAGAGGGCGCAAGGAGAAGATTCAACTGGATGGTACGGCACCTAGTGCCCCCCACTGCCCCCCAGTGCCCCCAAGTGCCCCCCTGTGCGCCCAAGTGCCCCCAAGTGCCCCCCTGTGCGCCCAAGTGCTCCATGTGCTCTCTCTCGCCCATACCATGCGGGGAATTTTGAGTGGACTCACAAGTCACCCAAGTGCTCACTCGCCCATGATCTATATCATCGTCATGCCTTTGCCTTTGAGGCATCCTCGTAACCAACCAACCGTAACCAACCTACCGTCGCAGCTTCATGTGTCACCAGTGAGAGAGACAGACCTGATTGCACGTGTTTGATTATGATGGCTTTTCAGTCCAGTCCCAAGACCTGACTCAAGAGATGCCCCAGCGTCGCGTCAACGCGCCCCTAGCCCTGCCATGCATTGCCTCCTCTTCGTGCCCCCTCTTCCCCTCCCCCCCATGCACTCACTCTCTCATGCGTCTGTTCCTCAGATCGTGGGTCTCTGACTCACGCCCTCCTCCACGCACCAACAAACACTGTCTGTCCCAGCTTTCAAGTGTCTCATCATGCCACATCGCACCTTCTTCCACCTGTGACCTTCTTCCACCTGTCTTCCACCTGCCCTCTTCCACCTGCCCTCTTCCACCTGCCCTCTTCCACCTGCCCTCTTCCACCTGCCCTCTTCCACCTGCCCTCTTCCACCTGCCCTCTTCCACCTGCCCTCTTCCACCTGCCCTCTTCCACCTGCCCTCTTCCACCTGCCCTCTTCCACCTGCCCTCTTCCACCTGCCCTCTTCCACCTGCCCTCTTCCACCTGCCCTCTTCCACCTGCCCTCTTCCACCTGCCCTCTTCCACCTGCCCTCTTCCACCTGCCCTCTTCCACCTGCCCTCTTCCACCTGCCCTCTTCCACCTGCCCTCTTCCACCTGCCCTCTTCCACCTGCCCTCTTCCACCTGCCCTCTTCCACCTGCCCTCTTCCACCTGCCCTCTTCCACCTGCCCTCTTCCACCTGCCCTCTTCCACCTGCCCTCTTCCACCTGCCCTCTTCCACCTGCCCTCTTCCACCTGCCCTCTTCCACCTGCCCTCTTCCACCTGCCCTCTTCCACCTGCCCTCTTCCACCTGCCCTCTTCCACCTGCCCTCTTCCACCTGCCCTCTTCCACCTGCCCTCTTCCACCTGCCCTCTTCCACCTGCCCTCTTCCACCTGCCCTCTTCCACCTGCCCTCTTCCACCTGCCCTCTTCCACCTGCCCTCTTCCACCTGCCCTCTTCCACCTGCCCTCTTCCACCTGCCCTCTTCCACCTGCCCTCTTCCACCTGCCCTCTTCCACCTGCCCTCTTCCACCTGCCCTCTTCCACCTGCCCTCTTCCACCTGCCCTCTTCCACCTGCCCTCTTCCACCTGCCCTCTTCCACCTGCCCTCTTCCACCTGCCCTCTTCCACCTGCCCTCTTCCACCTGCCCTCTTCCACCTGCCCTCTTCCACCTGCCCTCTTCCACCTGCCCTCTTCCACCTGCCCTCTTCCACCTGCCCTCTTCCACCTGCCCTCTTCCACCTGCCCTCTTCCACCTGCCCTCTTCCACCTGCCCTCTTCCACCTGCCCTCTTCCACCTGCCCTCTTCCACCTGCCCTCTTCCACCTGCCCTCTTCCACCTGCCCTCTTCCACCTGCCCTCTTCCACCTGCCCTCTTCCACCTGCCCTCTTCCACCTGCCCTCTTCCACCTGCCCTCTTCCACCTGCCCTCTTCCACCTGCCCTCTTCCACCTGCCCTCTTCCACCTGCCCTCTTCCACCTGCCCTCTTCCACCTGCCCTCTTCCACCTGCCCTCTTCCACCTGCCCTCTTCCACCTGCCCTCTTCCACCTGCCCTCTTCCACCTGCCCTCTTCCACCTGCCCTCTTCCACCTGCCCTCTTCCACCTGCCCTCTTCCACCTGCCCTCTTCCACCTGCCCTCTTCCACCTGCCCTCTTCCACCTGCCCTCTTCCACCTGCCCTCTTCCACCTGCCCTCTTCCACCTGCCCTCTTCCACCTGCCCTCTTCCACCTGCCCTCTTCCACCTGCCCTCTTCCACCTGCCCTCTTCCACCTGCCCTCTTCCACCTGCCCTCTTCCACCTGCCCTCTTCCACCTGCCCTCTTCCACCTGCCCTCTTCCACCTGCCCTCTTCCACCTGCCCTCTTCCACCTGCCCTCTTCCACCTGCCCTCTTCCACCTGCCCTCTTCCACCTGCCCTCTTCCACCTGCCCTCTTCCACCTGCCCTCTTCCACCTGCCCTCTTCCACCTGCCCTCTTCCACCTGCCCTCTTCCACCTGCCCTCTTCCACCTGCCCTCTTCCACCTGCCCTCTTCCACCTGCCCTCTTCCACCTGCCCTCTTCCACCTGCCCTCTTCCACCTGCCCTCTTCCACCTGCCCTCTTCCACCTGCCCTCTTCCACCTGCCCTCTTCCACCTGCCCTCTTCCACCTGCCCTCTTCCACCTGCCCTCTTCCACCTGCCCTCTTCCACCTGCCCTCTTCCACCTGCCCTCTTCCACCTGCCCTCTTCCACCTGCCCTCTTCCACCTGCCCTCTTCCACCTGCCCTCTTCCACCTGCCCTCTTCCACCTGCCCTCTTCCACCTGCCCTCTTCCACCTGCCCTCTTCCACCTGCCCTCTTCCACCTGCCCTCTTCCACCTGCCCTCTTCCACCTGCCCTCTTCCACCTGCCCTCTTCCACCTGCCCTCTTCCACCTGCCCTCTTCCACCTGCCCTCTTCCACCTGCCCTCTTCCACCTGCCCTCTTCCACCTGCCCTCTTCCACCTGCCCTCTTCCACCTGCCCTCTTCCACCTGCCCTCTTCCACCTGCCCTCTTCCACCTGCCCTCTTCCACCTGCCCTCTTCCACCTGCCCTCTTCCACCTGCCCTCTTCCACCTGCCCTCTTCCACCTGCCCTCTTCCACCTGCCCTCTTCCACCTGCCCTCTTCCACCTGCCCTCTTCCACCTGCCCTCTTCCACCTGCCCTCTTCCACCTGCCCTCTTCCACCTGCCCTCTTCCACCTGCCCTCTTCCACCTGCCCTCTTCCACCTGCCCTCTTCCACCTGCCCTCTTCCACCTGCCCTCTTCCACCTGCCCTCTTCCACCTGCCCTCTTCCACCTGCCCTCTTCCACCTGCCCTCTTCCACCTGCCCTCTTCCACCTGCCCTCTTCCACCTGCCCTCTTCCACCTGCCCTCTTCCACCTGCCCTCTTCCACCTGCCCTCTTCCACCTGCCCTCTTCCACCTGCCCTCTTCCACCTGCCCTCTTCCACCTGCCCTCTTCCACCTGCCCTCTTCCACCTGCCCTCTTCCACCTGCCCTCTTCCACCTGCCCTCTTCCACCTGCCCTCTTCCACCTGCCCTCTTCCACCTGCCCTCTTCCACCTGCCCTCTTCCACCTGCCCTCTTCCACCTGCCCTCTTCCACCTGCCCTCTTCCACCTGCCCTCTTCCACCTGCCCTCTTCCACCTGCCCTCTTCCACCTGCCCTCTTCCACCTGCCCTCTTCCACCTGCCCTCTTCCACCTGCCCTCTTCCACCTGCCCTCTTCCACCTGCCCTCTTCCACCTGCCCTCTTCCACCTGCCCTCTTCCACCTGCCCTCTTCCACCTGCCCTCTTCCACCTGCCCTCTTCCACCTGCCCTCTTCCACCTGCCCTCTTCCACCTGCCCTCTTCCACCTGCCCTCTTCCACCTGCCCTCTTCCACCTGCCCTCTTCCACCTGCCCTCTTCCACCTGCCCTCTTCCACCTGCCCTCTTCCACCTGCCCTCTTCCACCTGCCCTCTTCCACCTGCCCTCTTCCACCTGCCCTCTTCCACCTGCCCTCTTCCACCTGCCCTCTTCCACCTGCCCTCTTCCACCTGCCCTCTTCCACCTGCCCTCTTCCACCTGCCCTCTTCCACCTGCCCTCTTCCACCTGCCCTCTTCCACCTGCCCTCTTCCACCTGCCCTCTTCCACCTGCCCTCTTCCACCTGCCCTCTTCCACCTGCCCTCTTCCACCTGCCCTCTTCCACCTGCCCTCTTCCACCTGCCCTCTTCCACCTGCCCTCTTCCACCTGCCCTCTTCCACCTGCCCTCTTCCACCTGCCCTCTTCCACCTGCCCTCTTCCACCTGCCCTCTTCCACCTGCCCTCTTCCACCTGCCCTCTTCCACCTGCCCTCTTCCACCTGCCCTCTTCCACCTGCCCTCTTCCACCTGCCCTCTTCCACCTGCCCTCTTCCACCTGCCCTCTTCCACCTGCCCTCTTCCACCTGCCCTCTACCCCTCCCCTCTTCCCTCCCCCTTAACGTAGTGCCTCTCATCTGTGACCTATACCGAGGCTCATGGGTCTCGGACACCAGCTGTCCTCTCTACACCAGCGCCACGTGTCCTCACACCACTTTTAAACTCCTTCCCTCACCCCACCTCCTCTTTTCGACCCTCTTCCCTCTGTCCCTTTCCCCCCAACGCAATGCCTCTCACCTGCGACCTCTATTGTGGCTCATAGGTCCCTCACCCGACCCGAGCCCTCCTCTCTGACCCGAGCCCTCCTGTGTGCATCAAAACCACCTGTTTCAACTTCGCTTCAAAGTGTCTCGTCATGCCACACCTTCCCTGTGTTCGCCCTTCTTCCACCTGCCCTCTTCCCCCCCCACTCTCCCCCCTCCACTCTTCCCTCCTCCCCAACGCAGTCCCTCTCGCCTGCGACCTCTACCGTGGGTCATGGGTCCCAGACACCAGCCCTCCACTGTACACCAACGCCACGTGTCCCAACATCACTCGCCATCAGAACTGCCAGGGCAACGGCCGCCCGGACAGCCAGTACGAGCGCTGGCAGTGGCGGCCCAAGGGCGCGGCGTGTGCGCTGCCGCGATTCGATGCAGAGGAGTTCATGAGGGTTATGCGCGGTAGAGGGGTGCTCTTTGTGGGGGACAGCGTTGCACGGAACCATTTTGAATCGCTTGTGTGCCTGCTGAGTCAGGTGAGGGGGTGGTTGGTAGCATGCGGGGGTTTGCAAGACGGTTCTGAGGGACATGCGGGTGCTCTTTGTGAGGGACAGCGTTGCGTGCGGTGCAGTATTGAAAGCTGGGAGGTTCGTGAGGGTTGTGTGCGGTGGTGTGGAGTAATGCGGGTGACGTGGACGAGGAGGGTTATCCAGGTTATGGTATAACGCCCCGCTGGGGGTTACCCGCTGAGGAGGGTTGAGGGGCATCCGCTGTTCTTGTCCGCGGATGCCCCTCAACCCTTCTTGTAAGCCTGCAGGCAGCATGCGTTACACATGGGATGACAGGCAGTAATGGGTAGCGCCCCTTTCTCGCCACCCTGTCAATGGTTGCTCGTTGATCTTCCTCGGCTCTCTCTCATCTTCCTCCTGCACGTCTTCCTTCCCTCCTCCACCCCACCCCACCCCACCCCACCCGCTGTCACTTGTGCTGTCAGGTGGAGCACCCCATCTCGTTGTTCACCTTCTCTCCCATTATCCACTCTTCCCCTCCGCTATTATCCCTCTGCCAGGCGGAACACCCAGAATTCTACGGCAGCAAGTCTATGCTTCGCCTTGTCTTCTGCTCCTTTGCCACCCTTCTCCCATCTTCCCTCCCATCATACTCTCTTCCCTCTGTTCCTCCCTTCCGCGATCCACCTCGACCAGGTGGAGCAGCCGGAGTTTCACGGCAGCAAGTCTATGCTTCGCCTCGTCTTCCGCTCCTCTAAAGTCACACTCGCTAGAGTCAACTCTGCATGGCTCGTAGAGGAAGGCAACGACACCGTGCCTGACTGCCCCGATTCCATTCCTCGCCTGCACCTCGACCGAACCAGCCCCAAGTGGTTCGGCGAGATCGGGAGGTTTGATGTTGTCATGTTCAGTTCGGCGCATTGGTTTGTCAAGCCTTCGATCTACATGGAGAAAGGGGAGGTGATTGGGTCGCAGGGTGGGTGGTGGAAGAGAGATGAGCCGGCGAGGGTCGACAACAAGGGCGCGTTTGCACTTGCAATTCGCACCGTGTTTCGGGACGTGGTGAAAGAGCTTGGGAAGAATCCGAACCGAGTGTTCATTTACCGAACCTTCTCCCCGGACCACTACGAGAAGGGCGAGTGGAACACAGGAGGTTCATGCGCTGGGCTTACCGAACCTAGAGGCGGCAACTACACCTACAACAACACGTTCGGGCTCAACTTATACTTGAAGCAGCTGCAAGCTTATAACGAGGTTATGGATGCTGCTAAAGAGGCAGGCGCGGGTGTAGACCCGTTAAGATTCACCCTGATGGATGTGATGCCGAGTGCAGGCATGAGGGTGGACGGGCACCCAGGGCCATACAGAGGGTTGAATGCAGCGGAAGAGTTGGCTAAGTACAAGGATTCCAAATTCCCTCCCCCTCAGGACTGCCTGCACTGGTGCTTGCCCGGGCCGATCGACTCGTGGAACGTGTTTCTGCTGCAGATCATGAAGCGGGGGTTTGCTTCTATGCAGGTGCAGGGGCAGGGTGGGTAGTGGAGGGAGGGAAGGGGTGGAGTGTTGGAGGTGGTCAGCAGAAGCAGGTGGTGCTTGCCCGGAACGATCGACTCGTGGAACGTGTTTCTGCAGCAGATTGTGAAGAGAGGATTTACCTCTATGCAGGGGCAGGGTCGGTAGTGGAGGGAGGGAAGGGGTGGAGTGTTGGAGGTGCGTCAGCAGAAGCAGGTGGTGCTTGCCAGCGCCGATCGTGAAGTGGGGGTTTGCCTCTATGCAGGGGCAGGGGCAGGGTCAGGGTGGGTAGTAGAGGGGTATAGTGTTGGATGTGCTTCAACAGAAGCTGTTACATGGACCAGAGGAACGGGTTCCTGCTACAGCTCATGGAGAGGGAAAAAAATTCCAGGTCAGGAGCAGGAGCTGTAAGACAAGGCAAAAATTGCTAGAGTGGGGAGGGGCTGGGCTCTTTGTTGAGGCAAGTGCTTCAGCTGATTCTGGGAAAAATCTTTGTGGTGGCGCCTCCAGGCGTTTTTGTCTAGATTATTGTAGTTTGGGTTGTTGACATGGGGGTGTAGCTCACATGGTAGAGCGATCGCTTCGCATGCGATAGGTAAGGGGATCGATACCCCTCACCTCCACGCCGTAGTTTTCATTGGTAAATGTTTTCCCAAATGAGTTGTGTTGTACAGGTTTTTTTTGCCACCACTGGGTTGTGTCCTTGCTTTCACCTCTCTGAACGCTTTTAGACCTTGCAGGTACAACCAATCGAAAGACGCATTACCATCCTATCAAATCACGGTACCAGTATGCATTGGCACTCACCTGAAGGAATACTCACATCCTACATGCATCATACTAAAAGAGGCATCAAGAACAAGGACTGGTCTTGTTCCATGTCACAGCCTGGCAGTAGGGTTACATGGCAGCGTGCTTTTACCGGTATTACTAGATGCCCAGCACGTACACCATGCTTCACAACAGGGGGCAAAGGAAGACATGGTCTGGTCTGGTCTGGTCTGGTCTGGTCTGGTCTGGTCTGGTCTGGTCTGGTCTGGTCTGGTCTGGTCTGGTCTGGTCTGGTCTGGTCTGGTCTGGTCTGGTCTGGTCTGGTCTGGTCTGGTCTGGCACAATGCAAGCATCACATCCTAGCAGGTGCAGCTAAAAGTGCCCTGTTGAGTGGCTTGGCTAGCAGCATCATGCCCTGCTCGTCGTACGTAAGCTCCATTAAGGGTTTCCTTGCCTCAAACAAAACTTGCCTTTCACCACGGTTTCCCCTGCATCAATCAGAAAACATCCCCATGGCAAGAAGGCATTGTGCAGGCCTCAGGCCTTGGTAGTTGCAGCAAGCAACGTAATGATTGTCTTAACCAGCAGCTTCATGCTCTCCCCTAGCTTGGGCTCTGGGTTCACTTCCACCAAGTCCTCATCCTCCTGCTCCACCACCGGCTGGATGTGTTTCTTTATGTTGCTTAGCAGCTGCGGTACTCCCTCTGCTTGCACTTTGCTAAGAGCTCCCATGCAGTCACGTAGCGCCTGTGGGGTACATGCATGCAACAAGGGATGGAAATGGCTTTCCGAAGCAGACTGGCCTTTGCAGACACACATTGTTCAAAGCAGACTTGCATCAAAATAAAAAAGACAATAGTTCAAAGCAAACACACTTTGTCAAAAACAGGAAAACATGCACGAGGCATCTAAGCGAGATCATGAACACGAGAAAGGGTCACTATCCGCTCACCTTCATGGCGCTATCTCCGGCTTCCATCAATTCCTGTTGCAGCCTCGCCTTGTGCTCCTGAGTGTTCCTCAGCTGCTGCCGCAGCCCGTTGCGCTGCTCCGTCATCTGCCAAGAACGTCTCAGCATGAAAGAGAGTACCTAAACTAGTCTTGCTTGTTTTGAGGAGAGAAAGGGCGGCAAAACAGGAATTGGCCTCCGCGAAACGGAAAGGGAGGGTGGGGATTGCTCGGCTAGCGTTTGTGTGTCAAAACAGTCGGCAGAAGATGTGCATAGATGCTCATGAGCGAGGGCACACGAGCACACCCAGAAAGACACACACATGCATGCGCTGATACATACGCGCGCCTGCCACCATCCTGTTACCCCCGCCCTCCGGTCTTACCTCTTCCAATTCCGTCAAGTCTATCACATTACTCTCCGCCTCCCAGTCTTCCTCCTGCTCCTCCGACTCTCCCTCCTCCTGCCCCCTCCGCTCCAACTCCTCCTCCAGCTCCTTTATCTTCGCATGAAGTTTCTCAATCTCCTTCTGACACGATTTCGCCCTTTCATCCTGGCCGTCCATTTCTGCCTTGTGCTGCTGAGAAATCTCTTGCACTTTGGCTGTCAGCGTTTCTGTTTCTTTTGCCCTATCCGCCAGTAAGCGCTCACACTCTATAACCCTCGCTTTTGATTTCTCGGCCTCTGCTGCTCTCGCCTGCAACATTTCAACCTCCTTCTCACGCTCCTTGAGTTTAGATTCCATCATTACAAACCCTTCAACCCGTGCCTCCAACTTCCCTTTCTCTTACAAAGAAAGCACTGTTTCATGCAGCAGTTTGATTTCAGAAGACTGGTTGCTTAGTTGCAGCCGGAACTCATCAAGCAAGTGATTGAAATCTGAATGGAATGGGTGAGGATGGAGAAGCACAAATGATAGGAAACCTATATCCGTTTTTTGGCGCCACTGCCAATGTACTCATTTGGGGAAACCATACAAGAGAGGAGGGCAGAAGCTGATGGAAAGCGAGAGAAGCAGAAAAGACGGCATGAAGAACTGAGGAGAAAAAGACTGTTGCCACCAAGAAAAGTATTTTGTTGTTTACTTTCTTTATCTCGACACTTCTATCCGTCCATCATCCATGTACTTTGCTTTATACTCGCACTCTCAAACCATCCAACGTGTTCCCATACCCCTCTCTTCTGCTGGCTCACCTTCATCTGCCTGATCCCTACTTAACTGATAAATAATCACTTCATCACTTGATATCTGGTCACATTTGTTCACAGAATAAAGGAGCATCACTTTCACACCACCCCTGTACCCATCATTTCCCACACTCACCATCATCTTCCCGCTTCCTGCTCTGCTGACGCTTCATCACTATCTCCTCCAGAACGACCAAGCCTTTGCTGCTTCCTTCCATCGCTGTTTCAAGCTACAATCACGAGAAGGAAAGTGTTTGATCGAGAGTGAGGCAGAATGAGCGAGTGAGAGAGAGGGGGAGGAGGAAGGGGAGGAGAATTCAAGCGCAGTTTCGCAGCATACTTTTGTAATGGTGTGCTTACAGCTATGCAGCTAATTGTCGGCCATATATGAAGGTACGACCATGAAACAGTTGCTTTGTTTTTATGCGAGCTATTTGAATGCAATGACACATTTTCAAAGCGACGTACCTATGTTGAAGGGATCGGCTGGACGGGAATGGGACGTAGGCACGACCTTTCTAGACGGAAGCGTTTAGGTGACGCGCGCCTAGAATCGATTGAAAGAAGCTGTGACAGACCGGGTTACAAAGATATTGAAGCCCATTTTCTCGGTGTTCAGAAATATCGAAACAGACGCACGACGAAATCACGATGACATCTAGCTTTACTGAAAGCAGAGGGACTGGGAACAATCAAGGGACGATCTTTTGTTCGAAACTACGTAGGATCGGTTGGACGGGAATAAGACGAAGGCGCGACCTGCTAGACGAAAGCGCTTAGGTGACGCACGCATAAAACTGACAGAATCTGTAACAGATATGGTTCGAAAGGTCTTTGAGCCTATTTCACGGTTTTCCGGAGAGGTGTAACAGAAGCACGACGAACTGATGACGTCACCTAGGTTGACTGAAAGCGGAGGGAAAATGGGAGAATCAAGGAACAATAATCTCGAGACGATAGGCGGGGGAAGCGGGACAGCCAATCTGAAAAGAGCGAATCGAAGTTTCGCCCTGTAAGCGAAATGTAGGCACCCGGCGTTCGCGCTAGAGCTCTTCGCCTGGTACCCGCTACAGGGAGTTTCGGCTCGCACATGATCACACTCTAACGCAGAATCTAGGGCCCAAAAGCCGCCAGCCCTTGCGCCCATTGCGTGGCGCAAGGCTTCGCAGGAAAGGCGGAAGGTGCGCCGTGAGGCAACTGTTCCCAAGGCGCAACGGATGACAGGCAGCTGACTCGAAGAACTACACCCAAAGGCTGGTCCCTGACTTGTCAGTAGCGGCGTTATTTCTAATCCTTCTAGGGAGTTGTTCCTGGTGACGCAGAGTATTGGTATGCAAACATCCAAGGTGTGTGAATTTGGTTGGAGGAATTTGCCTGTGAACTCAGAAAATCTGCTTGTCATGTCTGTTAGGACGCGTCGCATTTGAAAAACCGAGGAAGGATCGGGGTTGTTCACCGAACCTGCCAAATCGATCGCCGCATCGGTGTGCCACGACTGAATTTTTGCCCCGCGGGCCCACCGCATGTCCCAAGTGACACGTTCGGAAAATCATGGGGCAAAATTGCCCGATGTGGACGAAATTGCACGATCGATGTGTGACAAGGGCACATCGATCGCCCGACTCCGAGGGGACAACTGTACACTGGCGACGGTTGACGAAATAAGTAACCAGCACTTAACGACGTCGTGAATGCAAAACCCCGATCTGGTGCAGGTTCGGTGTTGCACTTGTAACCGTCCTTCGTTCTTGGGGCTGGGCGAGCTCGGAAAGCTGTGCTGCAGTAGCACACTCGCTTTCACTTCTGTGATATGTGTACATTCCAAAACTTCCTCGTTTAGGTTGTCAATGAACAATGTTCACCCATGCCTTATGCATGCTAAAATGTGTAGTGCTAAATGGATATAGTGCAGGCAGATGGATCCCTGCATGCCCCCAGACAGTTTAATAATACATTTTACGCATTGAGCAGAGCATGGTAGAAACACATCAGAATCTATTCCTGGTTATCCACGACAAAATCTAGTGATTATCGTTGACTACCACGAAGTCACAAGAAAGGCAATCAGTCAGTCGGGCAGATGCAAACTCGCCATCCGAGGAGCTGCAGCAAGAAGCGTCCTGATGGTCTCAACTAGTAGTTTCATAATTTCCTGTATCTTGGGGTCTGAGTCGACTACCACCAAGTCCTCCCCTTCCTGCGCCACCACTGGCTGAATGAGAGCGTTGATTGCGCTCACCAGCTGAGTTACCCCCACTGCTGGCACTTGGTTGAGCTCTGCCATGCAGCCGCGCAGCACCTGCGGGGCATGCAGGAAAACAATGAGACATGGATATCAATGTCCAGCCATAGGCACTTTAATACCTCTTTCTACCCCCCCTGCCCTCCCCCCCTCCTCCCTTAACACCAGCCATGCAGCACCCAAGGGGCACAAAAAAGTAAAGTGAACAGGAAAAGAAAAGAGAAAAACAAACAGGAGACATTGAGAAAAGTAAACAGAAACAGGAGCAAACAGGAGCAACTCAAGAAACGTATCACAAACCATGATGGTGGCGAGGAGAGTCTGAAGTGGAGGAAGGAGAGTTGGATAGCGAATTTCATAACTTGCCTGAAGAGACATATCTCGGGCTTCCATCATTTGTTGCTGCAGCTTCCCCCTGTGCTCCTGGGTGTTCCTCAGCTGCTGGCTATACCTGTTCCGCTGCTGCGTCATCTGCCAATTAAACATCGAAACAGTTTCCTCATGAATGGCTGCTTGTTCAAGACAAAAAACGAGATCACAAAATGGATTCTTTTTGAGAAAAAAAAAATGCATGCAACAGGGGCGTGGTGCAAGCACGCCCCCAAATGTGGATGCTCTGTATGTGAATCTCACACATGCAAGTGCACACACATCTGCGTTCTCTCACATGTGTGTATGAGCTTGTGCACATGCTCGCACTGATCCCCCCACTGTACCTCCTCCAGGTCTTTCTTCAGATTCTTGATGCGCATCTCCGAAGGCGCAGCTTCCTGAATCTTTTTCTCCAGATACTCTACCTCGCGTTTCAACTCTCTCACTCTCGCTTTCCAGAAGCTGGCTGATTCTTTCGCCTCTGCCTCGAGTTTCTCAGCTTTATCCTTCCACATCCTCATTTTCGCTTCCCAGTGGTCCGATTCTTTCCTCCATGCCTCCAGTTCCTCATGCTGTCGTCGACTCCTACTCTCAAGTTTCTCATACTCATGAACCTTCCTCTCCATATTCTCATACTCTCTAACCCTAATCTCCAGTTTCTCATAATCCCTGACCCTACTCTCAAGTTTCTCATACTCCTGAAACCTCCTCTCCATTTCCTCATATTCCTTAACCCTAATCTCCAGTTTCTCATAATCCCTGACCCTAATCTCCAGTTTCTCATAATCCCTGACCCTAATATCCAATTTCTCATACTCTTTGGACCTAATCTCCTCCAGCATCTCACACGCTCTAACCCTTCTCTCCAGTTGCTCATGCTCACTCAGCCTAGCTTCCATGAGCTGAAACCCCTTCATTCGTGTGACCAATTCGACATTCACTGCACGCAGGGCAGCCAACGTCTCGCGCAGCAGCCCAATTTCAGTTGACTGGCAGCGCAGCTGGAGCAGGGCTTGTTCCACAACCTGAGTTAACTCTGTTGTGGTAGGCGTGGACAGACAACCAGAATGGTTGGATAGTTTGGTGATGTTGAGTCCAATCGTGGTATGCCTGGGTTAAAATAACAAGACGCAATCAAGACACCTGCAAAGCTTGTCCTCGCAGTTTGCTGCTGAAATCGAAGCTGCTGAACCTAAGCATTTCGTGCAGAAACCAACTTTGGCACAATAAGAGCGTTGAAGCAAAAACTTAATCTTGAATCACCCTTAAAAGTGCCATGAGGTGGAAAAGATTACTACACACCTGGCCCCCAAAAATAAAAAAGAGAAAAAATCCTCAACCTCTGTTCACCACCTTTCATGATAACGAGCAATTGCACCCCATTCTTCGCCCGTCCACTCACCATCGTCTTCTTGCTTCCTGCTCTGCTGGCAGTTCTTCAGTTTCACCTCAAGAATCGCCAAGTCGGCGTTACTTGCTGCCATGGTTGCTTCAAGCTGCAGTCACAACGAGGAGTGAGAGAGAACAGAGGAGGAAGAGGAGGAGGAGGAGGAGGAGGAGGAGGAGGAGGAGGAGGAGGAGGAGGAGGAGGAGGAGGAGGAGGAGGAGGAGGAGGAGGAGGAGGAGGAGGAGGAGGAGGAGGAGGAGAAGGAGGAGGAGGAAAACGCGATGATTTTGTACTGATGTGCGTTTACAGGTATGCGGATTAGTGTTAAAGGAGCTTCAGTGAGCACTATAGGAACCGTATTGAGCATATCTGAACGTACAACCATGAGACGATGCTTTGTCTTATGCGAGTTATGTGAATGCATGACTTATTCTCAAAACAACGTACCTATGGTGAATAGGATCGGTTGGACGGAAATAAGACGAAGGCGCGACCTTGCTAGACGAAAGCGCTTAGGTGACGCACGCATAAGACTGACAGAATCTGTGACAGATTGGTTCGAAAGGTCTTTGAGCCTATTTCACGGTTTTCCGAAGAGGTGTAACAGAAGCACGACGAACTCATGACGTTATCTAGATTGACTGAAAGCGGAGGGAAAATGTGAACTATCAAGGAACGGGAATCTCGAGACGCTAGGCGGGGGAAGCGCGACTGCTAATCTGAAAAAGAGCGAATCAAAGTTTCGCCGTGTAAGTGATATGTCGGCACCCGCGGTTCGCTACAGAGCTCTTCGCCTGGTTTTGGCTGCAGGGAGTTTCGGCTCTCACATGATCACCCTCTAACCCAGAATCTAGGGCTGGAAAGCCGCCTGCCCTTGGGCCTGTGGCGCAAGGATGTGCGGGAATGGCGGAAGGTGCGCCGAGAGGCAACTGTCCCCAAGGCGCAACGCATGACAGGCAGGTGACGCGCTGATCTACTCCCGAAGCTGGTCCCTGACGGATAAGCAGCGGCGTTCTTTCTAAAGTTTCTAGGGAGTTGTTCGTGTCGACGAAGAGTATTGGAACGCAGATATCCGAAGTGTGAACTTGGTTGGTGGAGAAATTTGTCAGCGTGAACTTGCTGCTGATCTGAGCTTGTTCATGTCGCGCTAGCCGGTGGTTATGTTCTCGGGGCTGGGGGAGCTCGGAAAGTTGTGCTGCAGTATAGCACACTCGCTTTCACTTGTGTGAACATTCCTGATTTTGCTCGTGTAGGTTGTCATCAAAGAAAGTTCACAACGCCTATTCCCCTCAGAACCAGAGAAAAATGTATGATGCTAAATGGATGTGAGAGTGCAGGCAGATGGATCTGACATACATCCCTGCATGCACCGACAGTATAATCATATAACGCGCACATTCATCGCATTGAAAAGAGCATGGAAGTAACACATAAAAATATATCCCTAATTATCCATGACAATATCTAGTGATTATTGTTGACAACCACCAAGCCACAAGAAAGGCTCGCCAGAGTCTGAGGCAATCAGTCAGTTGGGCAGATGCAGGCTCGCCATCCGAGGAGCTGCAGCAAGCAGCGTCCTGATGGTCTCAACTACTAGTTTCATATTTTCCGGAGATGGGAGGCGCAGTAGTACCTGACAACGTCGGCGAGAGTAGCGGTTGTCGCCTGCTATGTGCTGCCGAACATGATGTTCCAAGCCCAAGTCTACTCACCGCCGGACGGAATTTGGGAGAAAATACGGAAGCTGTGCCATAATTTCATCTCCGGGGGGGGAGGCAACGGACGAGAAAAGATTCATCCTGTGGAGCGCTTTCCGACTATGCTTACCAAGGAAGGATGGAGGACTGGGGCTGCCGGACCTCAAGGTGTGGCTGGATGGAGTGGTAGTCCGTAGAGTGGGGAAGCTGCTGGAGGAACCGGAAGGAGTTCGTAAATGGCTGGCGGAGGAAGCGGCAGGCCTCCTGCAGGGAACGAGGACCTGGTTCGCTCACCCGGCGGTAATGAAGAAGTGGACGGGGGGGGAGCGATCGATGGAAGGCAGCTGCGAAAGCTTTCTGGGACTCACCTTTCGCGGAGCTTCCAGACCCTACGTGCCGATGGGAGGTAGATGAGGAATGGTTATGTTTCAACAGGAAGGTGATGCATAGGGGGCAAAGCCCGTTCGGGCTGCAAAAAGGGTCGGATGCGATTCTTAACCTGCGGGTCCGGGACCTCCTCACAGGCCTGTCGGATGACAGCAGGCGGCCGAAAAGTCTGGAGGAACTGACTGAGGAGCTGGGAGATGAGGTCACGGCAGCGCTGGCCCTCAAGGCTTACGAGGCACTTCCGGCGAACTGGAAAGTACTTGCGCTGGCTCCTGCCACGCCACAAGCACTCCGGGAGGAAACAACGGTGGTGAGCATGCCGACGCGGCAGCCGGGGGAGAACACGTACTGGGAGATAACGGGAGCGGAAGGGAGCAAACTGGAAGTCACGTACCTACGGCAGGGGGAAGGGGGAAAATTGGAGCCTACGGAAAAGCCCTACAAGGCCCGTTTCGAGGTGTGCAGAGTACAGCCGGTCGCGGTGCAGGAGATGCGGGTAATGGGACCGGTGGGGGTGGCCAAGACGAGGCTGCTCACACAGTCCAAGCTGTTCGTAAATGGGGCAGTGAAGCCGCTGAAGTAGATACGACGGATGATGACAGAGGATAAAGGGGTGCCAAGAAGGCAGGGGGAGTGGGAAGCTGTGTGGGGGAGGAAAATTGATCGGAAGGCGACGATATCGAGAAGAGACTCGCTGGTGGTGCCACAGAAGGCGAGAGATGTCCTGTTCAGAGCACACAGCATGAACCTACAGGTGGGAGGGAGGCTGGATGTCATGAGGAACAGTATCAGCTGCCCCCACTGCGGAGGCTATGAGACACTGGACCACTGCCTTTTCAGGTGCGATGTAATCCAACCAGTAATTGGCGCGCTGGTGAGAACTTTGGAGCTCATGAACCCGGGCAGGCAGGCACACTCCCTGGAGGACCTGCTGTTTGAACAAGGGGGCACCAGAACAGGTTTCCCGGAAAAGACAATAATTGCAACGGTGCTCAGACAGTTATGGCTGGCCAGATGCGACGCCGCGTGGAGGAATATCCCGTTCCAACGAAAGAAGGTGGCTCGGAATGCGGTGGTCGGTTTCATGACGCATGCGCGTGTGATGCTGACAGCGAGGACTAGGGCGGCGAAGAGAGGGGACAAGGAGGAATGAGGGCTATGACGCGTGGAGCCAGGTGGCAAGCGACGAGAGGAAGGCACTAAAGGAGATCAGCGCAGAGGAGGGACCAACCAGGTGGACGGATATCTTCGTGTCCATCTGGCGCAACCCAAGGACGATCTACCAGCCCCCGTAGAGCGTATAGGGGGGATGAGTCCCGCCCCAATAGCAGGGCTCTCGCCTCCCATGCCTACAATTACGACTGCGGATGTACCTATGTTTGCTAATATATCTACATCCAACAAATAATAATAATAATACAAAATAAGTTTCATATTTTCCTTTATATTGGGGTCTGAGTCGACTACCACCAAGTCCTCCCCTTCCTGCTCCACCTCTGGCTGAATGTGAGCATTGATTGCACTCACCAGCTGAGGTACCCCCACTGCTGGCACTTGGTTGAGCACTGCCATGCAGCTGCGCAGCACCTGCGGGGTATGCAGAAAAACAACGAGACATGGATATTAATGTCCAGCCATAGGCACTTTAATACCTCCTCTAACCCCCCTGCCCTCCCCCTCTTCTCCCTTAACAGCAGCCATGCAGCACCCGGGGAGCACTGAAAAATACATCGAATGCAGTTAACACACTAACTTGCATTGTTGCAGACAGATGCAACTCAGCATAGAATCACAAACCATAGTGCTGGCGAGAAGAATATGAAGTGAGGTGAGGGGAGTTGGATAGCAGTATTTTTTTATTTCTGAATAGTCATGTCTCGGGCTTCCATCATTTGTTGCTGCAGCCTCCCCCAGTGCTCCTGAGTGTTCCTCAGCTGCTGGCTCAACGTGTTGCGCTGCAGCGTCACCTGCAAAGATGGAAAAGGCACAAAGCGGTATTCTTGCAAGACAAGAAACGGTTCCCTAAACCATGTACATGTTCCAATATGTGGATGCTCCAGTGTTGCATGGCCACACACGCAAATGCTCACACATCTGCCTGCTCACACATGTGCACGGTCATGCATGTACAAAATCACGCATCACTGTACATGCTCACGCATTTGCATTCTGACACACATGAGCTCGTGCACATGCACGCGTACTGATCCCCACATCTTACCTCTTCCAGGTCTTCTTCAGATTCTTGATCAAAATCTCCGAAAGCCCAGCTTCTTGTATCCTTTTCTCCAGATACTCTACCTCGCGTTTAAGTCTCCTCATAATAACCTGTGCCTCTCGTGCTTCTTTTTCAGACCCCTCAAGGGATTTCACCCTTGCCTCCAGCTGATCTGCTTCCTTTCCTCGCGCACCCAGTTTCGCTACTTTATCCTTCAACTCTCTCACTTTCCCTTTCAAGCTGGCTGATTCATTCGCCTCTGCCTCGAGTTTCTCAGCTTTATCCTTCCACATCCTCATTTTCGCTTCCCAATGGTCCGAATCTTTCCTCGGTGCCTCCAATTTCTCATGGTGTCGTCGACACCTACTCTCAAGTTTCTCACACTCATGAACCTTTCTCTCCATTTTCTCATACTCCCGAAACCTACTCTCCAGTTTCTCATACTCCCTAACCCTCTTCTCCAGTTTCTCATAATCCTTGACCCTAGTGTCTAGTTTCTCATACTCGTTGACCCTACTCTCCTCCAGCTTCTCATACTCCCTAACCCTCTTCTCCAGTTTCTCATAATCCTTGACCCTAGTGTCTAGTTTCTCATACTCGTTGACCCTACTCTCCTCCAGCTTCTCATACTCCCTAACCCTCTTCTCCAGTTTCTCATACTTCCTAACCCTCTTCTCCAGTTTCTCATAATCCCTGACCCTAATGTCCAGTTTCTCATACTCTTTGACCCTACTCTTCTCCAGCTTCTCATACTCCCTAACCCTCTTCTCCAGTTTCTCATAATCCCTGACC